TTGGAAACAAATGGCAACATGTAAAATAAAATCATAACACTCATTCTAAAGCCTAAACCATTACCAAGATACTCTCCTGTCTACTGAAGTTTAGCTCACCCAAAATCTTTGCAGCATTTTCCAGACAAAACATGCTGACAGTTTCTCTTCAGTAAAAGATCCCGGGCATCTATTGGGTTACATAGATACGTCAGGACAGTTCTTTGTTCTTTTCCATAAACAGGACATCCTTGTTTGTTTTGTTTTGTTCTTTTCCACAGCCTCCCTCTCTTGTTGACCTTGCAATCTTTTAATTAGCATCTGGCTCCATATGCAGATAGTCTTATGTTGTGGGACCAGACAGGGAGATAAGCGTGTGCATCTTCCTGCTTGAAAGGAACCTGCTTAATACATCACCTCTTGGTTACCTGCCTTAAGTTCAAGGCTTTGAGAACATAGTTTCCAGAATAGATACATAACTCCTTACATATTACTCATATATACATTTTGAAATGATTGACTACTAGTGGGCTACTGACTTTTGGTAGAGACCTTACATGCCACCCTTTGGTAAACTATTGTACATATACTTGATCCAGGGACTCTGTAAAACTCTGTGTGTCTCCTGTGCCCTCTGTCATTTGGTCACATGATGCCAACTTAACTTTGTGGTGTAGCCCAGGCCTTAGTTTACAAGAACATCAAGAATCATTGCTATAAGTAGGGTTTGAATTGTTCCAAAATTCTGTAGAAACCATTGTGGATTTTGGTCTGCAATAATTAGTAACCTGTCTCATTCTATTGAGTATATTAAATTTATCCACAAACCTTGTTGACTCTTGTCCTAGCTCTTTAGGTAGTAGCTCTGTCATGTAGTTATGTTCTCTGTTGTGTAATCTCATTTTGTAATTTGCGTGGTGTGAGATACTTATGGAAAAGGGTTGGATGTTCTCCAAAATGATTAAACAAATGCTGAGCACCACCTTAGGGTAACATTGAGTAAATTTGTCTTTCCCCATTACAGAAGTGTAATAATTCAGGTTCTCAGGATCATTTAAGGGCCAGTGACTGAGAAAAGGGGTAAGAGGAAGTATAGATTATTAGCTGGGCCGGCTCCCAGGCACCAGCTTAGCAAGCAGGTGCTTGGGGCGGCCAAGGGGAAGGGGTGGCACATCGGGCTCTTCGGCAGCAATTCGGCGGTGGGTCCCTCATTCCCCTCTCGGAGGGAAAGACCTGCCACCGAATTTCCGCCGAAGAAGAAAGCGGTGTGGCTGAGCTGCCGCTGATCGCGATCATGGCTTTTTTTTCTTTTTCTTTTCTTTTTCCACCGCTTGGGGCGGCAAAAACCCTGGAGCCTGTCCTGATTATTAGTTAAAGTAAGTGGGAGTTAGAGCTGAGTGTTTTACTAGACTTTGTCACTAACTTATTGTGTATCCTTGGACAAGTCACTTAACCTCTCTGTGTTTAACCTCCTGTTTGTAAAATGGGAATCATACTTACCATATAGGGGAATTGTGAGGCTTAATTTAATATTTGTAAAGCACTTTGAGATCCTCAGATGGAAAGTAGAATAAAAGTGCATAGTGTTTGATACCATTGCACTAAAAGCAATTCTTAGCTATTGGAATGACTTCTTGTCATCTGTTCTTAATGTGGCGTAACTTTCCCCATAACACACACACATACGTAGCACCTGGAAAATGTATTTGTGCCAGAAAAGGATAATGTTGTTGACAGCCCTGTGTTTAGAACAGGGGTCGGCAACCTTTCAGAAGTGGTGTGCCGAGTCTTCATTCATTCACTCTAATTTAAGGTTTCGCGTGCCAGTCATATATTTTAACGTTCTTAGAAGGTCTCTTTCTATAAGTCTACAATATAGAACTAAATTATTGTTGTAGGTAAAGTAAATAAGGTTTTTAAAATGTTTAAGAAGCTTCATTTAAAAGCAAATAAAATGCAGAGCCCCTCGAACCAGTGGCCAGGACCCAGGCACTGTGAGTGCCACTGAAAATCAGCTCGCGTGCTGCCTTTGGCACGCATGCCATAGGTTGCCTACCCCTGGTTTAAAAGAATAAGGGAAAAAATGCAGGCCTGGACACCAATCTTAGCTAACCCTTACCTTGCCTGATGAAGAGTCTACAATACATCACTCTTCAGTCTGTGACCTTCCACCATTATACCTGCAGTAGCTAACATCACTAGAGGTGTGTCTGTGTGCCATGTCTATGGATGTACTTCCATTCCTTTTTCCTGACTATCTATGATATCCAGCTAGAGTGACACCCAACTATGATTTCATCTAATATATTTCCTTAGTCTGTGATTTGAAAGAAACCAGGATTCTTCAGCAATTAGGGATAAATTGCCTGTGCTTCTTTACCCACAACATCTATATCTAGCAGCAGATTTCTCCAACCTTTCAGTTCACAAGAGGTGAAATTATGGCCATTAACTACTTAGGGACATCTGAATGCACAGTCTGTCTATTAAAATGGATATGTGGCTGCTGTATCTTGGGAAAACACTGGTTTGTTGATGGTATTGCTAGAAAAAGGTGGTCAGCACACCTTTGACCTGTTTATTTCCTCTTTACATCACAGTTTTCTCTCAAAGGTGAAGGATATTTAATACACCGAATGCAACTGTAACCTTTGCACAAAACAGAGTACAATTCTAAATCTAGGATTATTAGTAGTAGTAGTAAATTATGGTAGCATGCAATTGCCTCAGTCTCCTTTGGTGCTCCATTGTGATAAGCACTGTACAAACACAGAAAAGAGAGTCTACCCCCTGAAGAGCTCATGTGCTGCTGGATTCCCTTCTTTTTTGCATCTCTTTAGGCTGGTATGAACCTATCTTGCACCTCTCATAATTTTTCACACCTCTGAATTTTTGTAAGTGCATATATGAACTATAAGGGTATTAGGATCTTTGCCTGGATTAATTGATCTTTTCCAGGCTTTTTAATATTAGGTTTTCTTAATTGTAACATTAGTATGTAGTTGTTTTTAATAGCTGTGTTTTCTTGCATCCTTTCTAAACCTTCCTACCCGTCTTCAAAGAAATTTATATCTTTAATAAATACCTTTAGACTTTAATAATCGTATATCCAAAGTTGCCCCCATTACCTGGATATTTGAGCACCTAACAGTCTTTACTGTATTTATCCTCACAACACCTCTGTTAGGTATGGCAGTGCTATTATCCCCATTTTTCAGCTGGGAAATGAAGGCAAAGAGAGAGGCTAAGTGACTTGGCTGTGGTTCACACAGGAAGTGTGTAGTGGAGCTGGGTCTCTCCCAAACCTGAGACTAGCACCCTAACTATTGGACCATTTTTCCTCTCTCTTACTACAATAGGTTTTTAGTATTTATGGACTCCTGCTGTGTTTGAAGACTCTACATATATGTCTGTGGTGCTTAAAAGCTCCTATAGATTCCAGCAGTACTTAAAAACAGTGAATGGCCTCCTGTGAACATTTGACTTCATGAAGGATTCCAGTTTCTCTCATCTCCATGTTCATTTCTCTCCCAAGACCAAATAAAGTCTGGAGTCCCTGGTCTGCACTGCCTCTCAGAAGACCAAGTTCATGTGGTGCTTTGCAGCGCCATCTAATATTTTAATGTGTTCGTCTCCTCTGTTACCTTCCAGAAGAGTAAGATCCTATAGCAATGCAAATGAACAATAAAAAGGAGGATTGTTTATAAGAAAGTGTTTTCACCTGCATAGCTGTACTTTGCCAAGATGAACATTGATTCTTAATTTACCTTTTATATTACTTTAAACATTTTTGGCTCTAGTTGATTTGGCAAGAATTCTTTCCTTACCCCCAAGAGAACAAGCTGAAAATATTTTTTCCTTTTGTGAATTCATGTAGAACTCCTTGTTCAGCTATGTCAGCACCCTCAGGTGTGACAGACAGATGTTCTCTGAGTATATTTCCGAACAAGAAAAAGCTGCCTATATCTGTCAGTAGGCTCAACTGATACTTGAGGGGTAGACTTACACTTGTGTCACACCAGACACGTGAGTGGACTGTGAACTAGACAATGTCGGTTCTCACTTGGTGGCAGTAACAGTTGTTTATCAAACTGTTTTTTTGTCTTCAAAGCTTCAAATGTTGTCTGCTGTGCCTTCCACGCACACTTTATTTTATTTTTATTTTTTTATTGTTTATTTTATTTTATTTAGGAAGTTTTTACGTAGTTTACAAATCCTTGCTGGGTAAATATCAGAAACAAAACAATCAGTACAATGGTTAGCTTTTGTTTAGAGACCTTTTACGAGACTGTGGTCGTTGATGTTTTCTGTTTAACAGGATGGTACCATATTACAGAGGGAGCATCATTATAACACCTATGATATGTTGTTTTTAAAGATTTTATTAAATTGAATTAAATGGCTATATACACATTTAACAGACCAGGCATGTCTATCAAATGTTAATATTAAAAAACTTGGACAGGTGTGCTGCCTCTTTTTGCAGATGAATATGCTTTATCTGAGTACTGACTGAAAGGTAACCAAATATCTAAGTATCTCTCTGTCCGTCTTGCTGGATATGTAATTGGTGTGTTAATTTTCCATAATCACAGCCTCCTTTTTTTTTAATCATTCTTCTGTGGTTGAGCTATTTTTCTTTTTCCAACGATAGGCTACCAATAACTGAGCAACTACTAGCAGATGAGAGATTAATTCTTCATTTCCTTTTCTGTGACCGTTTTCATTAGGAAGCCCTAGGAGGATTTCCAACGGATCATTTGGTAGTACATATCCAGCAATTTGTGATATTTTGTATTGGATTGCATCCCAAAACTCTGACTGCACATGTCTACCATATATACATAAAATCTCTTTCACTATAATTTCTCCAACCATTCAATCTCTCTCTCTGTTTTTTAACCTAATTGCTATGAAGTATCATTGAAACAGTATCTTAAAGACTTTTTTTTTTTTTATTCCACACACATTTCTAGTATTGCATCTAATTTCAGGATTATATTTTGTCTTCCTCTCCTCAGACATAATTGACCCAGCTATTCTGCGCCCTGGCAGACTGGATAAAACACTCTATGTGGGTTTGCCACCACCTGTGGATCGACTTGCTATTTTAAAGACCATCACCAAAGTGAGTATTTGGAAAGAGATCTATACTATGAGAGGTCATTCTTTTGAAGTTGGATGGAATGATACTATACAAACTATAATCACAGAAGAATTGCAGGGCCCAGTATGACAAAACATTAAAATAACTAGTAATAAAGGGTCATTAAAAGAAGCGCCCAACTTTTTCTTTTTCACATAGTGATTAAGGTTGATATGGAACAATAATAGGTGATCAAAAAATTGCCTTACTTGAGAATTAAACTGAAAATGCTAGTTCCCATGTTATGTTCACAATTAGGACAAATTAATGGGATGATTCATTCCTACATAAGAATGTGCATACAATGCTTTTGTATATCTGTTGGGCCTGCTATCTTTGTCACACCAAGGTGTTTGATGATGGAATTATAAAAGTTTACATACAAATTCCAGCTTAGATCTTATTCAGCAATAGTTATTTATGTGTATGTAATTCCCATTGGGATCAATAGGAGACTTGGGTGTGCTGGGGCTGCAGGAAGAGGCAGATGTGAAAAAAAATTGTTCTTAATTGTGGATTCCATCTCTGGGTAGTGGCTTACTCTGCCCAGCATGAGCCCTGGATTCTGTTCCTGCTGCAGTGTGTTTCTTTCTCCTAGGTAAAGGGTATAGCATAACAATGCTGTCTCAGTAATAAGAGAGGAAGAGTGTTTTACATTATTCAAAAGTACCTCTTCCTTTTACTAAGGGACTAGTGTGTTGATGGCTCTGAAAGAATCTCATCAGACTTTCTTGAATTGGAAAATTGGCTGAGGCTTGTATCTAGAGAAGGGATGGGACTTTAAAGACTCCATGAATGATGTGGAGGAAACCATGAAAGAGGATTGAGCAAAAAAAACAAACAAAACACCTCCTTGAAATTGTAAGCAGTGTTATGGTTGGATGTATGTGGGCTATTAATAAATCTCATAATGGAAGGTAAAATGTGGAGAGAGAGTGGAACATGTCTGCTCCTGTCATGACTCATGCAAGAGTTAGACTCCCACTAGGGCTCTGACTTGCTTCAAATACGTTTCTCACATGTTGTTCTTGTATAATAGCATTGTGGAAGTAAGCCTCTCTCCATTTACTCAGCCTGTCTGAAACAACCTAGTTACCTTGTCAGTTATTGGCTCTTGAAGCCATAGAGGACTGTTTTTTTGTTTGTTTGTTTGTTTGTTTTTTTTTAAACAAGTCAGTTTTGAGGACACATTATAGGGGATGGGGTTGTAATTTTAACAATTTCTTTTTAAAGGGGACCTGTTAAGTATCTGCTAAAAATTGGGCTTGTGCCATTTTTTGTTGTTGTTTTGTGGTATACAAAGAAGACCCGGAAAGCTTTTTGGGGGAAGAAAATGTTTTATTGTGATTGGGGTTTACCTCCTTCCCTCTTGTCCTCCCCACCCAATTCAGCTGGAGAATTTATGGGGATCTTGGAGAAGTCTTTAGCTACTCTCTCACTCTTTTTAAATGATGGAAGAAAGGAATATTTTTTTTAAAGATTCAACACTCCCAAGTGTGTGTCAGGCATTGAAGTTCAATATGTTTCGGTAGATGCAAGTGTTTTAAACAGTCTGACTAAAAGTCCCTTCCCTGAGAGCCCCAGCCCTGTTGCGTGGGGCTGAATTATAATTTTCAGGAAGTCATGGAGGTGTTGTAAAATCACGCAATCCGTGACTGACTCGTAGCCTTAGTCATTGCACTAGTTCTCTAGTCACCATAAAGTCTTCAAAACTAGATAAAGACCCTGTATTTCTAATGTAAAAAAACAAGAACAACACACCCTCTCCAGGTAAAGGTGGTAATATGTCATAAACAAAAAAGGACACAAGCCTTTTGCAGGTTATATTTAAAGTACCTGCGTGATCAAACTACTTTTTTTATATGCATGCGTTCAAACTTGTTATACCTGAATACAAGACACAATCAGGATAGAGGTACGTGTTTTTAGTGGGTGGCTCTCACCCATCCCTTTCCTGGGGGGTGTGTGTTTGTGTTTCTCTACTAGAGCTCTAAGGCCCCCCTGGCTGTCTTCTCCCACACACACCACACCTTCCATCTCCTGCATCACAAGTAAACATCCTTCCATCTAAACACTTTTAGCCACCAGCTGAAGGGTTTGGCTGAAGCAATTGGGAGGAGTTGTTCTGAAGTGATGCAAAATGTTCCAGCCCTTCTGCCTTGGAGGAGTGAATGCAACATCTTGTCATCAAGCCCAGCTCCTGCCAATCCAGGAAGCGGGAAGCTAGGATACAGCTGTGGAGTTCTAATGCAAAGTTGATGCTTATTGGAATTGGAAATAGGAGACTACTTGGAAATTTCTACTAATTCTCTATACCAAAACGAGAGGATGGATTTGAAAAGCTAATTCTCAAGTTCAACCATAGGTTCAGACCTCACCATGCTCAACTCTGCCCTTCAATCTTCCAAAGTAACTAACTTGAGTGCCATGCAGTTCACTGTAAAGATCCCATAGTACTTGTCATGTGAATGGAAGCTTGTCCCTGGGGTCTCTGTTCAAAACTTTAACTTCCCTGTACACGCACGTAGCATAGGTCAGTGGCTCTCAATCTTTCTAGTCTACTGTACCCTTTCAGGAGTCTGATTTGTCTTGCGTACCCGCAAGTTTCACCTCACTTAAAAAGTACTTGCTTACAAAATCAGACATAAAAAGACAAAAGTGTCACAGCCACTATTACTGAAACATTGCTTACTTTCTTATTTTTACCATATAATTATAAAATAAATCAATTGGAATATAAATATTGTACTTGCATTGGCCTGCTAAACCCAGGCTTGTGAGTTCAATCCTTGAGGGGGCCATTTAAGGATCTGGGGCAAAAATCTGTCTGGGGATTGGTCCTGCTCTGAGCAGGGGGTTGGACTAGAATACCTCCTGAGGTCCCTTCCAACCCTGATATTCTATGAATGTGACAATATAGAGCAATATAAACAAGTCATTGTCTGTATGAAATTTTAGTTTTTTCTGACTTCGCTAGTGCTTTTTATGTAGCCTGTTGTAAAACTAGGCAAATATCTAGATGAGTTGATGTACCCCCGGAAGACATCTGCGCACTCCCAAGGGTATGTGTACCCCTGGTTGAGAACCACTGGCGTAGGTAGCTGCATTTCAGTGTTGATATTGGGTGTAGATGGGATTCTTCAGATGAAAGGTCCAGTATAAATATAACCACTTCTGAAAATTGAATTGTCCCAAATTTACCCACTGAGAAAAACATCATAATATGAACGTAAGGCTGTTCCAACTATGACTCTCCTGTACTGTAGGACAACTGGGGGTTTTCTTCTTTAAATGTTCAACTGCTGGTTATATTGCATGAAGATGGACCTTCAGGGAGACAGACTTCACAGAAAACAATTGGTTTACAAGTAAATATAAAATATCTATTGAGTAATCTCACTCCTAGGTTATAGTGTTCCATGCTGAAGTCTGTAACCATGGCGAGTGGAAAATATTAAATGTTATAATAGGGGATAAGATGTTTTTTCAGCACATTGCAAAGAATTCACCCATACATTCTGGATACATAAACCTGAAAAGTGTGGATACATGGACCCTTGTTTGAGCACTGACATTGTGCTCAACACCATATAAAACATAAGACAAGGTCTCATCACTAATGAGTTTACAGTCTAGTTCAGATGCACATGGCAAAATGGGTAATTGTACAAATTCAAGCTGATACAGAAATCTTGCCATAAATCTAGTGTCTCTGTTCAGTCTGTGATTTTTAGCATCTAGCAGAGTTATGAATTTAAGCTCCCAGGCTCATCTTTTGAAAGTGTTGTGTAGGTATTCAGAACAGAGACACTGGATTTATGGCTTGTTACAACAATCTTAAACCCACTAACTGCCTCTTCTTGTCCTAGGACTGCAGAGCTGTTAACAGGCCACTCTCCCTTGAATGGTTCCTTAGAATGTGGGCTACTTATGATAAACAATCTGGTCCACCTTTCATTTAGCTGTGACACTGGGAATACCTTTCCCAGGCCTGACGAAAAGCTCTGTGTGGCTCAGAAAGCTTGTCTCCCTCCCCAACAGAAATTGGTCCAATAAAAGATACTACCTCACCCACCTTGTCTCTCTAATATCCTGGGACCAACATGGCTGCAACTATGCTGTATACATTTCTCCATTAGTTGATTTCAATCTACTTCTTCCCCAGAAAATTTTCTCTTAAAGAAAAGCTGGAAAAAGTTTGGCTAACTAATATTGTCGACCCTATACTCTGCTTTAAGAATATGTGTGTAAAGGAGGAGAGGAAGTAGATACACATGCTTATACCATAGTCCTGCAACACTTTAGATTGGGGTGGGCAAACTTTTTGGCCCGAGGGCCATATCTGGGTATGGAAATTGTATGGCAGGCCATGAATGCTCACAAAATTGGGGGTTGGAGTGTGGGGGGGTCAGGGGTCCATCTGGGGGTGCGGGCTCTGGGATGGGGCCAGAAATGAGGAGTTCAGGGTGCGGAAGGGGTTTCCGGGCTGGGGCAGGTGCTGGGGGTGGTGGTGAGGGCTCTGGCTGGGGGTGCAAGCTCTGGGGTGGGGCTGGGGATGAGTTTGGGTGTGGGAGGGGGCTCCAGGCTGGGGCATGGGGTTGGGGGGATGAGGGCTCTGGCTGGGGGTGTGGGCTCTGGGGTGTAGCCAGAAATGAGGAGTTCAGGGTGCAGGAGGGGGCTCCGGGCTGGGGCAATGGGGTTGGGGCATGGGAGGAGGGCAGGGGTGCAGGCTCTCGGTGATGCTTACCTCAAGCAGCTTCCGGAAGCAGCAGCATGTCCTCCCTCTGGCTCCTGTGCGGAGGTACAGCCAGGCGGCTCTGCTCGCTGCCCCGTCCGCAGGCGCTGCCCCTGCAGCTCCCATTGGCCGCGGTTCCCAGCCAATGGGAGCTGCGGGGGCAGGGCTTGGGGTGGGGGCAGTGTGTGGAGTCCCCTGGCTGCCCCTATGTGTAGGAGCTGGAGGGGGCATATGCTGCTGCTTCCGGGAGCCGCTTGAGGGAACG